CAAACAGAGCTTTTGTGTACAGTTTTTTGAAGTTTGCAATAACCTGCTGGTCCATGGGCTGCAGGAGAGGAGTGGTATTAGGAGGCAAAAACTTCACCTTAATGAAGCTCATGTCCCCATAAAGTCGCTCTGCCACGTCTGTAGGATGACCAGGGGCATTGTCTAACACCAGGAGGCACTTAAGTTCTAATTTCTTTTCAGTTAGGTAATCTTTCACATTGGGGGCAAATGCATGGTGTAACCAGTTATAGAAAAAGTCCCTAGTGACCCATGCCTTACTGTTTGCCCTCCACAGCACACACAACTTCTCCTTGAGGACATTCTTTTGCCTGAACGCTCTGGGAGTTTGAGTGATACACTAATAAACGCTTAACTTTGCAATCACCACTAGCATTGGAACACATCAACAAAGTAAGCCTGTCTTTCATAGGCTTATGTCCTGGGAGTGCCTTTTCCTCCTGAGTAATGTAGGTCCTGCTTGGCATTTTCTTCCAAAACAGGCCTGTTTCATCACAATTAAACACTTGTTCAGGTTTCAGTCCTTCAGTCTCTATGTACTCCTTGAATTCATGCACATATTTTTCAGCCGCTTTGTGGTCCGAACTGGCAGCCTCACCATGCCTTATCACACTATGTATGCCACTACGCTTCTTAAATCTCTCAAACGAACCTTTGCTGGCCTTAAATTCACTCACATCAGCACTAGTTGCAGACATTTTTTTAATTAAATCCTGATGCAACTTCCTAGCCTTTTCGCTTATGATCGCTTGAGAGATGCTATCTCCTGCTAGCTGTTTTTCATTTATCCACACCAATAAGAGTCTCTCAACATCTTCCATCACTTGCGATCTTTGTTTCGAAAACACAGTTAAACCTTTGGCAAGAACAGCTTCCTTGATTGCCTTTCTGGTGCCCACAATAGTAGCGATGGTTGATTGGGGTTTCTTGTACAACCTGACCAGGTCGGCGATACGCACTCCACTTTCATACTTATCAATGATCTCTTTCTTCATTTCTATTGGAATTCTCACCCTTATTGGTGTAGGGTTGGCACTAGAAGCTTTCTTGGGGCCCATGGTCACTTATTTTCCAGAAACAGCACCGAAAACACTGTAATAATACGAAATATTCCGATTGTATGCTTGAATGTTACCGCGGAGGCTGGCTGGTAAACAATGGCACGGGCGGCACATGTGAGGCTGGCTGAGGGCGCACATTGGACGCGTCTCGGACGAAAATCGGTGAGCGGGTTTTTAAGCGGTATGCAAGGCAAAATTTTTGCGATTAAAGCAAGCGGTATGCGGATTAATCGCTATGTGGTGCCATCGGTATGCGGGGGTCCACTGTATGTATGTATATGTATATGTATATGTATATGTATATGTATATGTATATGTATATATATATATATATATATATATATATATATATATATATATATATATATATATATATATATATATATATATATATATATATATATATATATATATATACAGTGGACCCCCGGTTAACGATATTTTTTCACTCCATAAGTATGTTCAGGTGCCAGTACTGACCGAATTTATTCCCATAAGGAATATTGTGAAGTAGATTATTCCTTTCAGACCCCCAAACATACACGTACAAACGCACTTACATAAATACACTTACATAATTGGTCGCATTTGGAGGTAATCGTTATGCGGGGGTCCACTGTATATATATATATATATATATATATATATATATATATATATATATATATATATATATATATATATATATATATATATATATATATATATATATATATATATATATATTTATATTTATATATATATATATTATTTTTTTTTTTTTTTTTTTTTTTTTTCAACAAGTCGGCCGTCTCCCACCGAGGCAGGGTGACCCAAAAAAGAAAGAAAATCCCCAAAAAGAAAATACTTTCATCATCATTCAACACTTTCACCACACTCACACATTATCACTGCTTTTGCAGAGGTGCTCAGAATACAACAGTTTAGAAGCATATACGTATAGAGATACACAACATATCCCTGCAAACTGCCAATATCCCAAACCCCTCCTTTAAAGTGCAGGCATTGTACTTCCCATTTCCAGGACTCAAGTCCGACTATATGAAAATAACCGGTTTCCCTGAATCCCTTCACTAAATATTACCCTGCTCACACTCCAACAGATCGTCAGGTCCCAAGTATCATTCGTCTCCATTCACTCCTATCTAACACGCTCATGCACGCTTGCTGGAAGTCCAAGCCCCTCACCCACAAAACCTCCTTTACCCCCTCTTTCCAACCCTTTCGAGGACGACCCCTACCCCTCTTTCTTTCCCCTATAGATTTATATGCTTTCCATGTCATTCTACTTTGATCCATTCTCTCTAAATGACCAAACCACCTCAACAACCCCTCTTCTGCCCTCTGACTAATGCTTTTATTAACTCCACACCTTCTCCTAATTTCCACACTCCGAATTTTCTGCATAATATTTACACCACACATTGCCCTTAGACAGGACATCTCCACTGCCTCCAACCGTCTCCTCGCTGCTGCATTTACCACCCAAGCTTCACATCCATATAAGAGTGTTGGTACTACTATACTATCATACATTCCCTTCTTTGCCTCCATTGATAACGTTTTTTGACTCCACATATACCTCAACGCACCACTCACCTTTTTTCCCTCATCAATTCTATGATTAACCTCATCCTTCATAAATCCATCCGCCGACACGTCAACTCCCAAGTATCTGAAAACATTCACTTCTTCCATACTCCTCTTCCCCAATTTGATATCCAATTTTTCTTTATCTGAATCATTTGATACCCTCATCACCTTACTCTTTTCTATGTTCACTTTCAACTTTCTACCTTTACACACATTCCCAAACTCGTCCACTAACCTTTGCAATTTTTCTTTAAAATCTCCCATAAGCACAGTATCATCAGCAAAAAGTAACTGTGTCAATTCCCATTTTGAATTTGATTCCCCAAAATTTAATCCCACCCCTCTCCCGAACACCCTAGCATTTACTTCCTTTACAACCCCATTTATTTTTTATTTATTTATTTATTATAAATTTGAGCACACATACAGAGGTACATCTATAAATATATTAAACAACCATGGTGACATTACACATCCCTGTCTAAGACCTACTTTTACCGGGAAGTAGTCTCCCTCTCTTCTACACGCCCTAACCTGAGCCTCTCCCTATGAAAAAATGCTATGCACATAAAGGGCTCAAACATCTGGAATTCATTGCCAGAACACACTAAGGGACCTCTGTCTGCAAATCAGTTTCAGGCCCTACTTAGAAATCACCTCATCACCCAAAATTAGCCAGACAAATACTTTACTTAATACCTACCAGTTACTCCAAAGCTACTCAAAAAACTTATAAATAATTTAATATTGCTCAACTATTTGATCATTAACTTCAAACTTAAAATTGTTTCAATTACATTACTGTATATTGTGCTGAGGATTGCTCAACCATTTACCCATTACGTCAAAATTATAATGTTTCAATTTCATTGTTTTAATTAAATTGTACTAAACTGTAATACATACTTAATATTGTAAATTGTTTTAAATTGTTCTAAATTGTAGTACTCTACTTTTTATGAACAATATCAAAACTGTAATTATTCTCTACTGAACTTCTCTACTAGACTTATTAAAGCCATATAGCATTACCTAATAGAATACTCAACTCTCCTGTGCTCATTGTAACTCATCTAATGACCACATGAACTGTTATTGCCTTATTAATCTTAAGCTAATTTTAAGTTTGCCCAAAATGCTCTGCATACAAAAGTGCTTTTGGCATGTGCACCCAACTATTATATTCCTTTGTACACCACATATCATGTCAAAATAAATGATTATTATTGTTATCTGGGAGTAAGCATCATACCGAGCACATCGCCTGAGGGACACATCAACCATATAACTGCTGCAGAATACGGGTGCGTGGCAAACCTGAGAATAGTGTTTTGATGTCTAAGTAAGGATTCATTCGCAACACTATACCGTGTACATCAGGCCTATATTGGAGTATGCAGCACCAGTATGGAACCCACACCTGGTTAAACACTTAAAGACATTAGAGAAAGTGTAAAGGTTTGCAATAAGCCTAGTCCCGGAACTGAGGGGTTTGCCCGACAAGGAGAGGTTAAGGGAACTCAACCTGACATTACAATACTGGAAGTCAGGAGGGATAGGGAGGACATGATAACAATATATAAAATACTGAGAGGAATTGACAAGGTGGACAGGGACAGAATGATTCAGAGATGTGACGCAGCAACAAGGGGTCACAATTGGAAGCTGAAAACTCAGATGAATCACTGGGATGTTAGGAAGTATTTCTTCAGCCATAGAGTTATCAGGAAGTAGAACAATCTGGAGAGTGATGTAAGGGAGGTGGGGTCCATACATAGCTTTAAGAAGAGGTATGATAAATCTCATGGAGCAGGGAGAGAGAGTGAACCTAGTAGTGGCCATGACTCGACCCCTGCAACTGCAATTAGGCGAGTACAGAATCAAGAAACATCTGATTTAAAGTCAAAATAATATTTCAATGCACACTGGTTAAATGTATTGTTCTTCATATTAAAATAAAACTTTAACATAAGCAGCCCATTTTTTCTCAGAATTATGGACTCGAATATTTTTACAATAGCCCCCAAAAATATTTTGACAATAACAAATAGCGAATAGGGGAGCCGTATAAACAAATTTGTGGTCATAATTTAAAATGTTCATATTAGCGAAGCACCGTAAAGCGGGTCCCACCTATACAAAACAGTACACACTACCTACTTCAGGATATGATTCGTCTTAATCTACAAGGATAATTATTGTGACGGGATAACATTTGATAGTAATAGCTTCCTGCTTCATATAATGGTAGGTGGAATCTCCGAGTAGACGTAGTGTACATTTTAAGCATAATACCTTTAATCTTTTGATCCCCTTCTGCCTCGTCAGGTGTGACATACTGGAACTTGAAGCATGTACCCACACTGCCCTTTTGGGGAATATTTGTTGTAATTGCGGTGTTTTGTTGGACGAGAAAGACATCCCAAAGACAGAAGCAGTCAGCATGCTTCACTCTGTTCCTGATCTCAAAGTAGCTAGAAATGTAAGTGTTTTGGCAATACAGCCTCTCCTCATTTAACAATGAAGTTCCGTTCCTGAGACCATGTCATTAATTAAATGAATTCGTCGTGAAGTGCGGAGCATACTATAATGGTAATGAGTTTGTGTCATCCATCTTTGATTTTGTTTTAATGTCACCTTTGCACCATTTATAACATTTCTGATATACAGTGGAACTCTGGATTTCGTACTTAATCCATTTCAGAAGGTCGGTCTAAATCCGAAACATGAAAACCGAAGTAATATTTCCCATAAGAAATACTATTGTAAATACAATTAATCCATTCCAGACACCCAAAAATATTAACAAAAAATACATTTTTTAAAGAATATAGTTTTACATACAGAAAGCAATGAGAAATTAATATAAAGCACTTATGAAATGGATAAATGAACATTTAAATGACTATTACATACCTTTATTGAAAACTGTTTGTCATTGATCCACACCAACAACAACGTCTCCACATCTTCGATTGTTTGTGATCTCTGTTTCGTTAGTATATTTACCCCCTTTTGCAACTTGAGCTTCCTTGATTTCTACTTCATTTGCCAGGATGGAACAGATTGTTGATTTCGACTTCCCATACATCCTGGCAAGCTCGGTTAAACGTACTCCACTTTTGTATTTTTCTACAATCTCTTTCTTGAATTCTATCGTGTTTCTCACCTTCTTTACCAAAGAGCTGGCACTAGGAACTTTCTTTGGGCCCATGGTGGCTTATTTCGCAGTTGCACTCATTAGTTAAGTGAAGTAATGCTCACCCGACTAGTGACAGATCCAGACTGAGACATGTATGCATGAGTGGTGGTGTCCCGGGTGGGCGGACACGTCTGATACATACGATTTCTGGGTGGCGGTACAAAATCCAGACCAAAATTTCTCCCAAAAAAGTGGTCTAAATCCGAAACGTATGATATTCAGTGTGTGTGAAATCCGGAGTTCCACTCTATTTTTAAATGTTTGTACAGTAGTGTACTGTACGTATATTGAAATAAACAGAATAGAGGAAATCAGCTCTAATATACATTATTTAGGTATGAATACTGGTCAGAGAGCCTGTAGTAAGTCCGAGGCGTCAGTAAACGAGTACGTCACTAACTGAGGAGAGGCTGTATAATAAGTATTGTGGCATAATAGTGGTAAACTTGTGGTATTTGCAAAAATTTTTGGACTGAAATTTAGTATTTATAAAAGTATAGTACTGTACATCATCAATTTACAACAGCAGCTTAGAAATATATGAAATTTACACTGAACTTAAATTTTCAAATTCAAGTTATACAGGAGGCTTTTTCCTGTCATTATTCTTGTGTTAAGTTTTAGAGCTAAACTTTTGTTCTCTTTGACACCAGGAGGCCCAAAAGCTTGGGAAAGAAGATATTAAAAATTTGCTGAAGCAGCGGAAGTTGGTGTTACTGGTGGATCTAGATCAAACATTGATCCACACTACAAATGATAATATTCCTGCAGATTTGAAGGTAACTTTTGATTGTACATTATGCTTAAATGTATTACAGAAATCTTTCTAATTAAAAGGAGAATTAATTAATTTTTCATCACTTGGGGTTATTTTACAGTACTAATTGTGATAAGCGTAACTAAAGCTTTTACTCAAAAAGAAAGAAAGAAAAAAAAAATATTTAAAACATTGTAACTATTATCATAAACTAAGTGCTGAGTGTGGACCGGCATAGCTGCTGTAACATCATAAACAAAACAATTTTTTTTTATACACACCAGTCATCTCCATTGAGGTAGGTTGACCCAACAAATGAAAATTTTTGTTACTCTTATTACCCTGCTCTTTTTTTTTCTCTTTTTCATTGAAAAATAGAAAGACACAAATACTGTAAAAATTAATCAAGTTAATAGCAAAGTTAATCAATTTACAGAAGAGACTATCCCTGGAGGCAGCTTAGATGAAAAGTCACAAATACATGAGTTGCTGAATCTTTGCAATAAACACACCCTAAGCCAGCAGACAGTGGAGCCAACAAGACTGGAAGACACACTTGTCCATATTTTCACAAATAATGAGGACCTGGTAAGACACAACAATATCAAAAACAACTAATTCAGATCACACACTAATTGAAGTCCAGACTTACATGCACAGAGGTCCTGACCAGCAAAATGCACACAGCAACGGAAGTGCCTTCACTAAATTCAACTTCAACAACAAGAACATCAACTGGGATCAGGTAAACTGTGTCTTCAATGGGAAGATATCTTTATTAACATGGATTAAAACCAGTGCCTTGAAAGGATCAACTTCCTGGAAGCTGAAGTTTGTTCAAGGTATATTCCCCTAAGAAAAAAGAAGAGTAAGAAGGAAACTGGAGAAAGAGGGAGACGCTTCCTCAACAAGAGAAGGCGAAGAATCTCTGAGCGCCTTAAGAACGATAGATTATCTGAAACACAGAAGGAAGCATTAACCAGGGAAGTGGAAAATATTGAGCTTAAGTAAAAGGATTCATAAAGGATCCAGGAGAGACAGGAGGAGCTAAAAGCAATTAGTGAAATTGAAAGAAATTCAAATAATTTCTTTCCATATGCCAAAAACAAGGCAAAAACCACATCTAGTATTAGGCCCTTGCTCAGACAAGATGGAACCAACATAGATGACAACAAAAAAAATGAACGAGATACTGAAGTCTCAATACGATTGTGTTTAGAGAGTCATTGATCAACCCAAAGATGGAGAATCCAAATTATTTTTTTGTGAATGAGCCTCAAAACCCTGTCAATGAAAGCCAAATGACTGAGAAAGCCATTGACAACATGCCCATGCACTCAGCCCCAGGCTCAGACTTGTGGAATTCTATGCTCATTAAGAACTGCAAGAAACCCGTTTTGTATGCTATGGAGAAGGAGCTTAAACACAGGTGAAATCCCACAGTCACTAAAAATAACGGATATAGCCCCACTCTGTGGCAACAAAGCAATAGCTAAAATCTATAGACCAATAGCTCTAACATCCCTCATCATAAAAATCTTTGAAAGATTACTAAGAATCGTACAGTAGGGCCCCACTTGTACAGCAGGATAGGTTCCAGGCTACTGCTGGAAAGCAGAACACCATTTTGTTTTTACTTATAAATCCATATAAATGCCAGGTAACAAGTTTATACTAACATATATTAAATTAGCAATAGAACTAGCAATACACACACAGTGCACTCATTATTTACTTCAAAATATTCGTAGTCTTAATGTAGGGCAAAAGGTGAGTAGTATTTACTGTGAGAAGTTAGGTGTGGTAGCCCTCCTGGCAACCCTCACCCACACATAACATACTATGATGATGCTTAATTAAAGCTCCATGCTGATAAAATGCATATACAGTACACTCATTACTTACCTTAAAGTATTTGTAGTCTTAATGTAGGGTGAAAGGTGAAAAGTATTTATTTGTAGAAAGTCGTGTGGTAGGTAGGATAGTGTAGGGAAGCTTGCCTGGCCACCCCATCCACTATGTAAACAAACGCACGATGTGTCTGGTTATGGTTCATAAACATTCTTACAAACACCTTACATTGTGTACTAGTTGTCTCCACAGTGGTATAGTAGAATAAATAAAGACCAACACTTCGATTCTCATGTAATTTTTAGAAGGAATGATGCTCTGCCAAATTATTATTATTACAAATTATTATTATTACAAGTTATTATTGTAACAAGTTATTATTATTAAAAATTATTATAATCATAATGAAAAAGAAGCACTAAACCCACAAGGGTCACGAATTGCTACATATAGAGTGAAGGCATACGAAAGGAATATTTATCTATGGTTATCCCCCAGTGTTTGACTAGAGAAAATTTAATTCTTTCGACACTCCTGCAAAGCCGCTTTGTAAACAAATCTCATATTTGTAAATTTTTATTCTGTGGGTGTATGTATAATGTTTATATGCTATGTAACATGTTTCTTATATATTTTGAAGAAAATATCATAGCTGGTTTAATGAGAATGTGTATATTAACATAAAATAAGACATTTAATGTGCCCAAGAGAAATTATTATTTAGTAGTATTACTATGGCGTCATGAGTAGAGACTCTTAGTGATTTTAATGTGTACCTGCACGCCAGCATAGTGTGTAAGTATATTTAGGTACAGGTACACATAAGCATAATTATCAAAGTACATATAAAATATGCAGTAACTTTAAAATACTTGAAATTTTGGAAAGTTGCAAGACATCATATATGTGCTCATGGAGAATGTAAACAAACCGGGTGGGGTGCGCCATACTTGAAAGATCACTTGCCATATAGCAAATTTTGGTCATAATTTGAAATTGCCGTATTAGCGGTGGGGGATTCCCAACAGTTGCATAATCCAGGGCAGCATGGGTTCAAAGCAGGTTGCTCGTGCCTCTCACAGCTGCCTGACCACTGTGATAGTGTGTTGGATGCACTGGAAGACAAACAGAATGTAGGTGTAGTATACACAGACTTTGCAAAAGTGTATGGCATTGCAATCATGGTGTAATAGTACACAAAATGCGTGCTGAAGGGATAACTGACAAAGTGGGCAGATGGATCATCAACTTTCTAACCAATCGAACACAAAGAGTAGTGGTAAAGTGAGTTGAATCATAGGCTGTTATAGTTAAAAGCCCTTTTCCACAAGGCACAATGCTTGCCCCCATCTTGTTCCTTGTCCTCCTATCAGACATAGACAGAGATGAAAACCATAGCACCATGTCATCATTTGCAGATGATACTAGTACATATCTGCATAAGACTGTCAGCAATTGAGGACACAGTAAATCTCCTCAATATAAACAAAGTTTTCCAATGGGCATTGGAAAACAATATGATATTCAATGAGGGCAAATTCCAATTACAGTGAAACCTTGGGTTTCAGCCATAATCCGTTCCAGGAGCTAGGCCTAAACGCGAAACGGCCCAAAGGCGAAGCAATATTTCCCATAAGAAATAATGTAAATAAAATTAATCCGTTACAGACCCACAAAAATATTCACAAAAAATACATTTTTTTAAATAATAACTATAGTTTTACATACACACAACACAGATAAATGCATATACGTATATTATATAGATAAATTAAAATTTAAATAAACATTTAAAATAACATTTACTTATCTTTATTGAAGAAACTTTCTGGCATCTGGAAGATAGAGAGGAGGAAAGAGGGAGGACTTATTGTTTGTTAGGGGAATCCCCTTCCATAAAGACTTTAGGTTACAAGGCTTTATCTGGGGTTACTTCCCTTCTTTGTCTTTTAACACTTTGACTGTTTCAGTCGTATATATACGTCTTATGAGCCACCATGTTTGACATGTACATTTTTTTTTTTTTTTTTTTTTCAACAAGTCGGTCGTCTCCCACCGAGGCAGGGTGACCCAAAAAAGAAAGAAAATCCCCAAAAAGAAAATACTTTCATCATCATTCAACACTTTCACCGCACTCACACATTATCACTGCTTTTGCAGAGGTGCTCAGAATACGACAGTTTAGAAGCATATACGTATAAAGATACACAACATATCCCTCCAAACTGCCAATATCCCAAATCCCTCCTTTAAAGTGCAGGCATTATACTTCCCATTTCTAGGACTCAAGTCCGACTATATGAAAATAACCGGTTTCCCTGAATCCCTTCACTAAATATTACCCTGCTCACACTCCAACAGATCGTCAGGTCCCAAGTATCATTCGTCTCCATTCACTCCTATCTAACACGCTCATGCACGCTTGCTGGAAGTCCAAGCCCCTCGCCCACAAAACCTCCTTTACCCCCTCTTTCCAACCCTTTCGAGGACGACCCCTACCCCTCTTTCCTTCCCCTATAGATTTATATGCTTTCCATGTCATTCTACTTTGATCCATTCTCTCTAAATGACCAAACCACCTCAACAACCCCTCTTCTGCCCTCTGACTAATGCTTTTATTAACTCCACACCTTCTCCTAATTTCCACACTCCGAATTTTCTGCATAATATTTACACCACACATTGCCCTTAGACAGGACATCTCCACTGCCTCCAACCGTCTCCTCGCTGCTGCATTTACCACCCAAGCTTCACATCCATATAAGAGTGTTGGTACTACTATACTTTCATACATTCCCTTCTTTGCCTCCATAGATAACGTTTTTTGACTCCACATATACCTCAACGCACCACTCACCTTTTTTCCCTCATCAATTCTATGATTAACCTCATCCTTCATAAATCCATCCGCCGACACGTCAACTCCCAAGTATCTGAAAACATTCACTTCTTCCATACTCCTCCTCCCCAATTTGATATCCATTTTTTCTTTATCTAAATCATTTGATACCCTCATCACCTTACTCTTTTCTATGTTCACTTTCAACTTTCTACCTTTACACACATTCTCAAACTCATCCACTAACCTTCGCAATTTTTCTTTAGAATCTCCCATAAGCACAGTATCATCAGCAAAAAGTAACTGTGTCAATTCCCATTTTGAATTTGATT